CACAGCGGTTACGCCATGCTCCTGATTCGAAAGGGTGCGGTAACAACTTCCCGACTTAGTATTTTGAGCGATGTCCGCCTGTCAGTGTCTATGACCATCACCGTTGGAGCTGGATGAGTGGCTGACATAGTGCAAGAAACCAGCTGGGTTGATTGCAGTATAGGTAGTCCTATCCAAAGTACCTATACTGCAACGGAAACGAACGGGGGAACTCGTTCGGTCATGCGTTCCTCTTGCCCACCATCCTTTGCTGCTGCTGGGATGAGGGATTTTATATTGGGCCTTATCTGCCTGCCCCCCCCCCCTTCTTCATTGACGTTCCATTTCGCGTCTCTGCGTTCACTTTCACGTCAGCACACAAGTACCTCAACTCGATCCCGACCCGTGCCTTCAACTTCAAGATTGTGTGTTGCTCAAGACAAACTTTTTTGTGGGTAAAGTATTCTGATGGAGCGTTGTAAGAAACCAGATGGGCGGATCACTGAGGTAGGCGAACTTCCCTCAGAAAGGGATTCGTATAACTCGGACCCTGAACGACTAACTATGTCTGCCTTTGACCACTTAATAAAGCGAGAACAATTTACTTGATACAGGGAAGGGTACATACTTTCAAGCGGCTTTGGCAGTGGTGAGACTTTTTCACTCATATTTATCTGTAAATTGTTCAGAAAGTTCTGGAAAAGTGCCTCAAGTGCAACAAAACAGTCACGGAACGGCTCATACGATCTCGTGGAGGTGCATGGCATCCTGGTTGCTTCGTCTGTGAAACATGCCAAAAACCACTCGAGGGCATTCCATTCACGGCTACTCCCATAGACAAGCCCTACTGCATACCATGCTATCAGGAGTAAGTGCTTTCTTCAGCTTTCATATACTTATATTCACTCTCCACCACTAAACGATCAGGTTGCCAACGAGAAGTACGTTGCCACTCTAACTAGTACAGCTTACAGTGAAAATTTTGCAACTAAACCTATATGAAGACCTGCTTGAATGGTTGTGGGACGGTTTCGTTAAAGGATTCCGCGATAAGGTGTAGCGGAATCCTTTAACGAAGATGTCGAAGAAGGGGAATATACCAAACCGAATACAGGCAGCCCCTAAGGGTGCGGGACCATGCGCCTTCTGATCAAAGAATGTGGCCCCAGAGATCTAAGAGGGCCATAACCGCGCCACTTAGCCGTTGCACTCCCATCCTCTCGCTGTTTGACTCTAGCCGTATAGCAGAGAGAGAGAGAGCGTTAGCACTGAAGAGGGCAGCACCGATGAAATTCTCATTAATGTGGAAATCGAGGGCATGAAACGGGTCCCTTTCGGAAGTTCTGGTCCGTTGAGGGCAGCACCGATGAAATTCTCATTAATGTGGAAATCGAGGGCATGAAACGGGTCCCTTTCGGAAGTTCTGGTCCGTTAATCATGGTTTTTCTTCATCTTTGCACCACTGATGATCTCTATATTCATTTCTGATGGACTGCCTTTCCATCGGAAGCTCCGCCCTTAGGTTTTGTCGAATGTTTCTAGGCTCCATTAAGTTTTGAAATAACATAACTGCAGGAAAGCACAATTTGTATAAGAATTATCACGAAAACTGTCGAGCTTCAGGCTCATCAAAAATTGACTAGATGACCATTTCAGCAAGTTCTCTCCACGTTGTGCTGCTTGCCGCAACCCTATCGTTCCCCGAGAAGGTGAAAAGGAAGCTATTCGACTCATCGATAAGGGCAGATCATATCATCCGGCCTGCTATTACAAGAAAAAGGCTCCTCCGAAGGTGAGCTGTAAAAGGCAGCGATTACGATAAATTCAAGAAGGGTTTGATGTGACGCGGTGGTGCTCAATGGTACGCCAGTAGCGAAAAAAGCAGAAAAATCCGTCAAGAAAACGCAAAACGGGACCCCCTTTTTGGCCGTTGGTTTTCACTCATGAACAGGTAACAGCTCAGAAAGTGGACGTATGAACGAGTTCACCGCAACGCGTTTGATGGCACCATGCCAAACCACGCTTTAATCGAGATGCTCCATTTGCGCCGCTGCTGGCAACGCAGCTCGTCCAAATCAACAAGTCGCTAGTGGGCGGAGCGCTTTCGAAGTCCTGCTCAGCAACCAGCGCACCTTTCGTCGTGAAAGCGCCACACCTCGCTTTCTTGGCAGCCAAGTAACTGATTTGTGTGGTGCCAAAGTCACTATTCACAGTTGTCCAAGTTTGCATATTTTGTTGACCGCTTACTAAAAAGCTAAACGGATCAGTTCTGCTATCTCCAATGAGGTGTACACAGTTCCAGTCGTTCCTAAAGCCGATCTCAGAACTCTCTTCTCAAATCTACTAGACAGTTCAAAGACTTGCGTATCAGAGAAGCGCAACGCTAGTTACTTAGGTCACAGAAGAGGGGGTCGTGAGATTGACTTCCTAACGAAAGTGCTCTTTTTCAGCAACACAGTAGAAGACTTTTGTCATGACTACTTTGACTACTCTTGTGAACAATCGATTCGATGGGTTTGTGAACAGCTCCTGCCAAATGTGTGCGCTACTTGCTCATGAGTTCGTATGCTACTAGCGGCTGTGGCGAACTCATCAAGAGCTTTCGCTTTGAATAAGAGCGTGACTGTAGAGTCGCGTTTTCGTGCCAAACTATCCCCAGGGGCTGATTTTTGACCTTAATCTGAAACTTTTGCTCACTTACGAAAACCTAGGCAGTCACCTCACCATCTTTGACCGCCCACGCTTCATGGAATAGGTGAATAAATGCCCACCATTGTGGTATTTGTTGCCTCGCTTTTCGCTACACTCTCTCGTCTCCATCTGTCGTTTTTCGCCTCAGTGCGTAGTTTTTCTTACAATGTTGTGTCCCATCTACTACCCAGAAAAGTAGGGCCTTGTTTAGGACATTGTCAGTGGTTTATTTTCTTTTTCCTCAAGGGCAAGTCATCTACTGTGTCACAATTCCACTATCCCGTTTTTGCAGAAGTTGAATCAGTTTTTAAACCCATTGAGACCACCCGAATACCTTGCCATCAAGCGTTCTGGGAGTGATGTCCAAAAATTAATAATGCTTACAGGACGCTGGAACCAAGACTGCTGTCCTGCCTACCCCCAGACCGGTGAGATTTCGTTCCATTTGCTTACTGATGATGAGACTGATTTAGAGTAAATATTAGATTGGAACAGTTGAAATGTCGTTTTCGATCATCAATTATTTTCATTATAAAAACAATAATGAAGCACATCAACCTGAACCATCTCCTTCACCTGTGTCACAGGCTCATCACCTTTCGTTACGCAAAGCATGGATGCCTACCGCGTAGAACTCTTTCTGGTTCGACTCGAAGAAGTTGGGCACTCAAATTTTGACGTCGTCGCGGTTATCGAATTGGTTTGCTGCTAAGGAGTGTTGCGCTGACCTGGGTCAGTGATAGTCGGACGGCGCCAGACCTGGGCTATATGGCGCGAGAGGTAGAGCGTCCCAGCCCAACTCCTCGATTTCTTGTTGCAAGATTTTCGCGACATGTGGTCTTGCATTATCGTGCCATAATTTTTCATTGGCCGAATTTACCCTTTGACGACGCGGAGCTCGGCCCACGTGGTGGAGCTGTTATACGCAGAGTTCAGCTGTAACTGTATAACCCACAATCAGCATTCCGTGGTACACCGTTGCTATACTATATCACCATATAAAAACATGACTTTGTTTCCGTGGATGTCTGGTTTCGAAGTCACCCTCAGCTGTCCATCAGCCGCCAACCACGGTCGTCTTCTCGCGTTGTTATTGGGAAACATCTCTTTGTAAAATGCGGTCAACACGAAGTCAAGAACCTTTTTCCTCTTGAAGTTATGGAGCGAAGTTCCAGTATTGGCAACCAGTACTGCTTGCTCGCGTCGCTCAGAATAGGCCGAACCCATTTTCTATCCTGAAAGGCCTTAACAGTCGCACGTAGGAACTTTTAAATTTTTCTGTTGACACAACTGAATCTCCATGCAAGTTTTGTGCGGTTTGTCGAGGACTCAATTCGTTGGCTTTCTTTATTTCTCCGTCATCTAAAGCTAGAGGTCAAAATCCACGATCTTAGTCGCCAGCAGGGTCAGTCCTATCGTTGTTACTTTTTCAAAAATTTTTACGACCCCCCTCCCCCAAGGTGGATTTGGTACGACCCCCTTTTCGACACCTCGACCACCATATTCCTCTCTATAGTATTTAATTCTGGTACCACTCAACCCACCAAACTCCGCCCACTTTTTCCTCCAAAAATGCCGTCGAGCGGGGGGGGTATACCCACTCTGAAACAGTAAAAATTTACCAAAATTCCCTAAATTTTAACCAATTTTTATCAATTCACACGCGCGCTGAAACGGTAAATTTTGATCCTGCGCCCCAACTCACCCAGCCTACTACTCCATGAAAACTCCACTTTCACCACAAACTCACATGTACTTTCACGCGACTGAAGCGGATACGACCCCCCTCCTATAAACTCAACCAGGTACGACCCCCCGTTGTTACTAGTAACACGCGTATTGACCCTATTCGCCAGGTCCGCCTACCAGTCTTGGAAAGAGCTGGAACCATAGCTGAAAGTGCATCAGAGACTAAGTGTTACTGCTCAATGTTTTGCACACAATGAGTGGGATTCGTTGGCCGTTTTTCGTTGCTTGAATATATACGCTCAGACGATGATTTCTGATCAGTCATCTTCAAGCAAAAGTTTTGGCTCGAAGAACATCCTGCTTCCGCCTAATATTTCGATTGTGCGTCTCCCATCCAAGAGATTGTGTTTAGGCTGAGAAACAAAGGCACAAACGGAAGAGACATTTCAACTGTTCCAACCTAATTGTTTCTGTTGCGATCTGGATCAGATCTAGAAGTTCGGCGTGACTATTTATCTTACGTACAACACTTCAAGAGCTTGCTCATAGTTTTGCCGCTTTATAGCGCTGTCTGCTCTACAAACAAATCAGTTGTGAGGCTGATTATTGAAATGTCTTATATTAAAACCCGCTGCTTGCAGGACGAAGGCACGAATACTGCACATGAGCCCACGCCTAAACCTGTGAGACCAAAATTGTTTACTTCACTGGAAGATGTCGTAGATTCGTTCTTAGTTAGTTAAGTTAATCTGGAAGTTTTTAAACGGATGACCTTTGAAAGAAATCCAAGCACCTAACTGTACTACATACGCTGTTCATTTGTTTAAGAGGATAATGAGCTGCTGTATAGAAGGATGCGTAGATTGATAGGGACTTATTTACAGGACGAAGGTACCTCTACTGCGGCTGAGCCTACTCCAAAACCTGTAAGATTTTAGTGTTACAGTTACAATGTTGTCGGTGTAACTTACCGTCAGTGATAGTTGGGGATTAAAAAACGGATGCACCACTTTGAGAAACCGCACCCCTACGGTGTTCTGCGACACCACATAAGTCAGAATATGCTGCCGCATACAAAAGAACATAAGCGACTAGACGTGGAACAATCAAAGAAGATTTGCGAGCATGTGCAATTTCCGCTGTTTGCGCCTACTCTGAACGATGCCTGAACATAACCTTTACTTGCTCCAGATTGAATCTTTCGCCAGAAAATGTCACACATAGCCGGTTCTTGTTTCGACGGTAGAGTGGTAGATTGCCCTATGATGCGACTTCTATTAGATTATTTTATTGAAACAACACTTGTAAATACTAACATTTATTAACATCTCTTATACCACAATTCCTAAAAGCAATTATTGACACATATTACAATTATATATACAACTTATACAATTTATTTCCTACATTAGTTAGCGTTATGGTTGGTTAGCCCTCATTCTAATTAGTATTGGGTTATTCAATATTGACTTGTGCCTTAGGGTGGTGGATAGTGGCTGGAGGTGTGAGTTGGTGGTCCTTGGTTAGTGATATTGATTGGTGGCCTTGGCCGGTGGATGATCCACTGGCTGTACCTTATTGATTGCCTTGTGCTTATTGATTATTTGGTTTGTTGCTGGCGTTGCCGCCTTAGGTTATTGGTGCGACCGGAGTCGCTTGTTTGGAGACCGCTGGAGACGACTGGAGAAGTTGAGGAGACC